ACTCTGTATAAAAGTGCACGCAGCGGTGCATGATCCGTTATTAGTTCTACTTGTGCACATGCAACATACGGGCGAAATTGTTTTAATGCATAAACAATTGCAAATGCTTCTAGTTCAATAGCGGGGCAGCGCTTCTCATATTTGTTCAGAGTGCGCGAGCAATATGCGATGGGTTGCCAGTCATATTCGCCGGTTTGTAAAAGGCAACCAGCAATGGCAATCCCCGAAGCATCAGTGTGAATCTGATAAGGCTGGCCAGGGGTAGGGATCTTCAGCACTGGAGCCTGTGTAAGAGCAATCTTAAGCGCTTCGAAAGCTTCATTACGTGGAGCTGTCCATTCAAATGATTCATCTTTCTTTAAGAGTTTCGACAATGGGAACGCTGTCTTAGCAAAACCTTTGATGTATCTCCGAAAATACGAGCAGCAACCTAAGAAAGAACGAACCTCTGAAACTGTTTTCGGTGGGGGTAAACCTTGAATAGCCCGAATTTTTGTTGGATCGGGACGGGAGCCTTGCGAATCTAGAATTACTCTTAAATATTTAACTCCGGGTCGGGCAAAATGGCATTTTTGCGGTCTCAATTTCATGCCTACTGATTCAATTCGGCTCAACAATTCATCAATATCTTGGAAATGTTGTTCCACAGAATCCGAGCAGCAAACTATGTCGTCGATATATACATATGTAGAAGATTTCAACGTTCTAAGCGTGTCATTCATGGCACGCTGAAACGTAGCTGTGGCTCAGCAAAGTCCATACTGTGAACTGAAACTGTCCGAAAAATGAGTAGAATGCTGTTCGTTCTCAATGGACAGGTAAAATTGGAATTTGCCAAAACCCAGACTGAAAGTCTAAAGTGGAATAGACAGCTTTTTCCGCTGTTAAACCGATGGTTTCTTGAATTAAAGGGAGGCGATATACTTCCTTTTTAGTAGTAATGTTAAGTTTTCTATAATCTACAGTGAATCGCCAAGTGTAGTCAGGTTCTTTTTAACAAGTACAATTGGTGAGGCAAACGGGCTAACACTTGGTTCGATTATTCCCTGTTCCAGTAAAAATTCAATTTGACGCTTAACTTCCGCTTGCTTCTCTAACGGGATACGATAAGGTCGAGATTTAGGAGGTGATATGCCGTCAGAAATATTGATGCGATGTTTTGTTGGTCCGCTATAGCGGCCTATATGACCATCGGGTCCCACAAATGCGTTATGATGGTGTCTAATAAGATCACGAAATTGTTTCTGCATTGTAGTAGTTAAAACAGAGCCTTCCAAATCAATCATGCGGTCAATATCATGTGTTCCCTTTTCTTTTATGGGTAGAGTTGATAAACTTAATTCGAAATGTGCTTCTGGCGGTATATACGCAGCCTCTTCCTTAGCTTGCCTTGTAAATAAATTTCCACTAATGTTTTCCTGTATGGAATTTATGGCCTGATAAGTATTTGGTTTAAGCGAAAGGATTTCTACATCCGCTATGTTTTGCTGTTTATATAACTTAGTTTGGCAAGGTGAATGATTGAGAATTCGGATGTAAACCCTGCCTATATCTCCCGGACAGACTAAACTTCTGCCAATCATTACTTGATTATTACCAGATTTAGAAAAGGATCTGCTTTCACTCGCGACAAATTCCCACTGTAAAGGAAAACGGTCGTGGATGACAGCAGTAACAAGCTTATCTGAAAATGGAGATAACAATAGGTCTTCAGATAGAAATGCCGAGATTTTTATTGGTGGTAAGGTCTCTGTATTTTGGTGGACAGGTAAAACGGTACGACCGAGAGACACTGTACCTTCTTTAAGATTCATCGTGAAGTTTCTTCCGAGTCTACTGATGAAGTCGGTGCCAATTAAACCATCGACGGGACAGTCCTTGTCTTCCGACACGTAAGCTAGATGAGAATATTGTCGTTTGCCTAACTTAATATGGATACGTCGAGTTCCGAGAAACTGGATTTTCGTTCCATTTGCGGTTCATGCTGTCTTACCGACAGATTGCAAATCCTCCCATTTGTGGTAAGGTACAATGCTTTTTCGAATGTAGGTTATGGTCGAGTCAGTGTCAAAAAGACAAAGTCGATATTGACCATCTATAGGTACGCGTACATACGGAAGTCGGTATCTATGTTCCTTTATGGACATTAGGGAATGTATCTGTGGTAGGAAGTCAATGATGTCCACTGTTGTTCTATCTGTGGGAGTTGACCCTGAAGAATTTACTCCTTCGCCATCCTTCATTTCTTTCATTTCTGGTACGCTGCTGTAATTGATTTGTGGCTGATCGCTGAAGTGTACACGGCGATCGTTGTTGATGTATTTAGCAACCATTTGACTTTTCTTCCGCTGTCGATATAACCGATAACGATCGCAGATGTACTTCCACCCTACATACATTAGCAATAGAAGAATCGCTAGTGTAAAGAGAATTATAGTTATGACTCTAACAACACGTTGTGTTTCATTAACGGCCGCTCGGATTATAGACGCCGAAGTCTGAAAGAAATGGGGTGCTTGTTTATCCAAATCCGTGGCTAAACGATGTCCTTCTACAGCAAATCCTTGTGCAGTGTCGTCTAAGAAATTTCTTCCAAATTCTTGTCCAGCTTGAGTCATAGCATGTTCGAGCAGATCAATACGACATGCTTGATGAGATAATAGACCTGCGCTAGTTCGAAGTCCGGCAAGATTATTGTGATAAAGAAGAGGAGCTGTAAAGGGAATACGATAGT